GATGGGTGCTCTTTTGAATTTTATGAGATAATAACTTATAAAAAGGGAATGAATTTTTAATTTTTTATGAAATTTTTAAATAAGATAGATATTAAATTTAAATTAAATATTATAAATTGTGATGCAATTAAATTAAATGTGGTTAGGTTTTAATATATAATTTTATAATTATATTAAATATTATATGTTATCTATAAAAATCACAATAAAAAAATTTTAAAATGAGGGTTCTAATTTTATACGTAAAATTACTATAACTTCATATGACTTTTAAAGAAAGTAATTTGAAAAAAAATTACTATATATATTTATATATTTAAAAACACTATACAACTAAAACAAACCCCAACTACAATCCAAACACACTTTTAAGTTATATCCTAAAAACACGTACTAAAAAAATCCTGTTTATATTACATTGGGTCTAGCTCACTACTAAAATTCTCTTTTTCACCAACTAAGTATCAGCAACATGGATCCGCTTGTCGGTGATATGAATTTTTACCGATAAAACCCATGTTGCTGATACTTAAATAGTACACCTTTTACCAAAAAGTGTTTTTCACTTTTAGCAACTTGGTTCTTGTTGCTGAAAGTGATTTTCAGCAACAAGAACCATGTTGCTGAAATTTTTCGGCTACTATTCATGATCGGGTGTTTTATTAATTCCATAAATTAATCAGCAACATGGAGCATGTCGGTGATATGGTTTTTTACCGACAAGACCCATGTTGCTGATATTTAAACAATACACATTCAGCCCAAAAAGTGTTGTTTACTTTTAGTAACATGGTTCTTGTTGCTGAAAGTAAATTTCAGCAACAAGAACCATGTTGCTGAAATTTTCTAGTGGGCTATATCATTAGCAACATATACTATGTTGCTGATATTAATATCAATAATATACCTCATCTTGCTATTATTTATTGACTGGTAGTTGCTATCACCGGCTAGAAATATGTTGCTAAAAAATTATTTTTGACTAGTAGCTCCACCACCCATTATATATACACCTTTCTCATGCCAATACATACGCCCCTTCCCCTTCCACACTTTATATATGTACACATTATTTTTTAAACTATTAAAATTTTTTTATTGTTGTAATTATATTAATGAATATATTAAATGTTACATGATATTTAATAAAGTAATAAAAAAATTAAGAAACTAGTTTTTGTTTTGCCTGTGCATTCCATAGTTTTTTTTTAAAAAAAAAAATTTATAATAGAGTTTAGATTTTTTATTTTTTTTATCAACTCTTGAGTTTTATAATGATTTTTAATTAAATAATTAAAGTTGAGTTAAAAATTGTGTTTAGTAATTAATAAGAGTATTTTTGAAAAAAAATTGTATATAATCACATTAAAAAAAGAATATTAAGAGAATTTAAAAAAACATTCAATATTAATTCTTATTTCATATATCT